TAAAAAAAAAACAAAACAAAACAAAAAAGTTCTTTGCTACTGGATGAATAACTTAGTTTGATAATATATAAAAATTATTAGTGAGAAATAAAGTTCAGGTAAAATATTTTTGGTTTAAAAAAAAAAGAAATAATTGTATTGAAATGCAGTTGATCAATAGTTTCGTAGTTTTAAAATTAATTAAAATTACAGTTGTCAACAAGTCTTTTGCCAGAAATGATATTTTAAAACTAATTAAAATTGCATCGTCAACAAGTTTATGTGAGACATGACTCTCTGCTATACTCTCTGTTCATTCTCATATTATCACCTTAATTTTAATATCATTATTTTTTGAACTCTGTTCATTCTCATATGATCACCTTAATTTCAATATCATTATTTTCTGAACTCATATGATCACCTTAATTTCAATATCATTATTTTTTGAACTCATCCAAAATTATTGGATTTATTTTAAAAATTTTGTGACTACTCTTAAACTAAATCTATATTTATATATATATTATATACATCCTTGTTATGTACTATCATTCAAATATTTTCCCTCAATCTCCTCCACACATCCATAATCCCCCCAAAAACCAATATCAACTGTCAATTTTTCTTCTAAAAGATAATAAAGGTCTTAAACTAAAACAATACAATATGTATTTTTTTTTTCTCTAACATTTCCAGAAGTATAATTCAATAAGAAAAAATGAAAATAATATATATATATATATATTTTAAATCTTTGGTGATAATGTATTAAAAATAAAAATGTGGACTTGGTGGTGAAAGTGGTCTTCAGCTGCTGAATTATAGTGACAACACGAATGGTCCAGCAGCAGCAAGTCCTTTTCACTCTTAGCTAGCTTTGTTCCCACCTACTTACAATTTGCATGTGAACCTTTTTCAACCTCAAAAATAATATTAAAATGATTAATTAATTAATTAATTAATTTCTACCTTAATATATATATATATATATATGTATATTTTTTTTTTATATTATGATTATGTAGAATATGTTTTTTAACAGAAATCAAGATTTAAGGTAAGACTTTGGCTTGATTTGATGCTAGCTAAATTATTGTATAGGATGAGTCACACCTACACATATAGGCTAAATTCTTAATTTTTTAAAAGTAAACTAAAATAATAAATAAAGATATATAATAGAGTCTATATAGGAAATTAAAATAACAAAAAATGTAAAATTAATTATAAAAGCTGATAAAATATGAAATTACAAAAATGGCTAAAAACTAGCTAGAAGCTAGAATTGAACATTTGAAATTAATTAGAGTTCTAAACATGAGAAAATGTTGAAATTTTGATCACAATTCGATTAAATATAATCTGTTGCATTATATAAACTTCTATCTTAGAAACTGATAAAATATTAGTAATTAATATCTTATGAGAATATACAGTTTGACTCTTTTTTTTTTTGGACAAAATATATAGTTAATTGCATGGTAACTCTAGCTAGGTAATTAACTCTTTTTCTTAGAAAAAAACAAAAATAAAATTAAAAAAATAAGTAAAAATACTTTTTTATCTTAAAAAGTTTATACAAGAGACAGAAGGACAATTCATCTATTATTTTAAAGTAAAGATTTTGGTTTTCACTGACATATGTGGAAAATCAATAGTTACATGAATAAAGTCAGTTATTATTATTATTATTATTATTATTATTATTATTATTATTATTATTATAATAATAATAATAATAATAATAATAATAATAATTATTATTATTATTATTATTATTATTATTATTATTATTATTATTGTACCTCAATCACAATAATTGGAGGATGAGAAAGAGTTTATATATATAAAGACTTTGAGAAAACATATATGTATGCATTTCTTTATTCAAAATAATGAAGTATACAACAAATTAAAAACATATTAAAAGATAGTAGAAATTATGTAGCTTATTCTTGATTTAATTTTCAATATTTGTTTGTAATTACTTGTTAGATATATCATAATGTCATGAAATGAAACAACAATAATATATTTTTATAATATAATATAATAAAATAAAATAAAATAAAATAAAATAAAATATAAATAAAGGTGTTCCAGACCTGCTATGCCCACCACCCAAATTGTAGAAAACTCCATCTTTTTTTTTATTATTTTTTTTTTTAATTTAAAATTTGTTATACTTTATTTTTCTTTGGAGAAAATAATGAGTTGCAGTCTTGCAGACATGGGGACTAAATTAAAAATAATAAAAATTATTTATAAATGAAAAAGAAGAATCAATCCCCTATTTTCATGTGTAGTGTAAGTAACATGAAATCAAATATCATGTCAAGAAAAAGGGTCAGCTTTATGGGCCATTTCTTGGGATTGAGGCTTATTCCACTTGCACACACACATACATATATATATATTTGGAGTCAAATAGCATCTTTGCTTTCTGTTTTGCAAGTAAACAGCAAAGTATAACCATGTTTTGTTCTTACACATTTCAAGAATCATTTTATTATTATTATTATTATTATTATTATTATTATTATTTTTATGTGTTGATGAAAAGAATCCTATGTTTTTTGGTACCTCCAAATAAATAAATAAATAAATAAATAAATAAATTATTGGTATTTAATTAAGTATATTAAGTATATACATCTCTAGCTAGCTAGGCCTAGCTAGCCATATCTCTTTATTTTTCCTAAAGTAATGTGTTGATATGTAGGTGCATGCCCTATATATATATGTACTTTATTAGGGACATTCTTTAGGCTTCTTATAATACTTTGGTACTTTATATGATGTTGGCCAATTTAAATGCAAGATTTAATTTTGTATATGCTTAATTATCACCAAATCTTTCCATTTAGATCCCCCAAGATTAGGCCTGCAAGGCTACCATGTGCTATTATATTAGTTAATTGTGATTTCTATATCTTTTATGGTGTCATTTATATCATAAGTCTCACGAGTATAAGTATCAAATGAGTCGAGTTTGAGCTTGTTTGAAGTTCTTTTAATTATTGAGAGCTTAAAAGTATGATAATTAAATAATTACATTTCAATTTTTTTTTTTTTTTCTAAAACTTGTTTCTTTTTCTAGATCTTATTTATTTTTATTTTTTCCACTTATACATTTTTGTATTTCATTACATGTATTGTTATCGTGTAAGCCCATCTACAAGACAACACGTTATGTGTAGAACTGAAAAGGGCTGCTTGTAAACTCGGGTTATCAAGACTCGAGTTCAGTTCGACTAGTTTAATTAGTAAGCTAATTGGACTAAAGCTCGTTCATTTAATATTATTGAACCAAATTTTTCCTCATTTTCTGATTAGAAAATAGATTTTTTATTTTTATTTAATATTTTGAACTTTTTATCATGATTTGTTGGTTCATTAAATGGAAGTAACATAATGTGACAACATTCTCTGCAACACTAATTTATTTCTTCCTAGGAGTGTCTTATTTAAAGATGCATCTCAAAGGACAACTTTAATCATGTTACATATATTGCATATATATATATATATACATATATATTTGATTCCTATCCTTCCAAATAAAGCCATATATATATAGGAGTATTTAATATAACTTCAACAATACAAGCAATCAATTTAGGAATAAGTGCAAGAGAAGACAAACATCCGTTTTGTGAAGGGTCCAAAGCATTGAATTTTGCTGCAAAATTCAAGATATATAATAAACTCATATATATATTTTGGGAGTATTTTAATTCGAAAATATAATTATGAGCATTGAATGCATTATATTTCTAGAAGGTCACACTAATTTCTTGTCAAATTATTTACAATTTTCGAAATTCAATATCCTAGCAAGACCAGTGTCTGAATAAATTAATTAATTAATTAGTAATCATATATATATATATATATAGTTAAAAAAAATACTTTTACCATTTTTAAATGTTTCGTTATGTACTCTTACAAACTACACTGTACAAAGAGGGTTGTTTCACAAAAGATGACAACCACATTTAGGCCATAGAGGGTTTATATTGGGTGCAAATGTAATATAAATTTAGTAGTTAGATAATTTTTAACCCGTTACGGAACCATTTCGTCGTGATTTGTAACCGTTAGATTATCATGTAACCGTCGAAGGATGGTTGATCTAAGGTTACCAACCCCGCTAGAATGGTTCCGTAACGGGAGTACTGTAGAATCCTTATAGAGACAGAGAAAGAAAGAGATACATATTTTTTTATTTAAAATTGACTCCTACCTGTATTCCAATTTAATTAATTGTATGTCTTCTGATTCTAATCAGTGTGACATTTGATAGTATGGAATACATAGTTTTATTCCAATTTAATTAACGGTATCTCTTCTGATAGGTCGTTCTAATCAGTATGGCATTTGATAATATGAATACATATTTTTGTTCAGAAAGTATACGCCTAACAATTAGACTGTCATGTCCCACATAAAGAATATGTGTTTATTTAATTAATACACCATGGACAATTAAACACCAAAAATAAACAAATAAAAAACGTTGCAGTATTAATTAATTATCAACTATAGCCACATAAAAACAACATGCACAATACAAATACTACTCGCTCAGTTTCAAAAAATAATAACCAACAACAAAGGTTTGTTGGCTCAAGTGGTAAGCAGCTTGATGTCCTTTAAGCAAGATCTCGGGTTCGTATCCTTGTGAATGCAGAAAACCCTTGTTGGGAGATTGATGCACCATTGTCAGGTGTGCGACCCGGGTCGACCAAAGAATCAATCGAGGCAAAGGTTGGTTACCAAAAAAAAAAAGTTTCAAAAAATAACATTTTAAATTTTAATACGATGTAGCCTATAAATATTTATAATTACCAACTAGGGTTTTTTTTTCCCCAAACTTTAACATCAAATTCCAGAATAGTTTAAATTAATTCCTCGTTCATTCTAAACAAGATAGTCCCCGAGTCTCATATAAAGGTCATAGCAAGAGACAAGACCAATCCATCCATAGTCCTTAAACAAAAACAAGGGACAAATATTTAAAAATGTCCACTTTGCCCTTTCTCCCCAACACTACCATTAATCCCATTGTTGTTGTTGTCCATGAAACCAGCCATGCTCAATATCTCACTCTCTGAAAGTGCCCTCAATCCCAAGAAATCCCTTGTCGTCATCATCCCTTCTTCTCGGGCCCGCCCGAGCTCTTCCATGGCCGCCTCGAAATCGAAGCCCTCCTCCGGAGCAGAAACCGCCGGTGGCCCGCCGCCGCGAATGATATTACTATTATTGCCTGTCATCATCATCATCCCGTGGAATGGGCCGAGCCCATCCTGGCCGGGCCCGTTGGGCCCGCAGCTCGTCCTCGGGCCCATCTGGGCGGCCTTCTGCAGAAGGGCCGTGGCAGAGAAATGGGGCGGAGTGGGGGGCCCGGGCAGGCAATTAGGGTTAGGGTTTTGGAGGAGGATTAGGTCGGACGGGCCGCTGCCCGCGGGCGGGTGCTGGTTGTAGTTGAAGGAGGAGAGCCAGTCTGGGGCCACGGGCCGGACGAGGCCCGGGAAGGTTTGTTGGGCCGGCTCTCTTTTGATGATGGGTGGGAATAGTGATGGGTCGATGTTGAAAATTTGGGATTGGATTTGGTTGTTGTTTTTGGGGTGATTTGTTGCTGTGGATATTCTTGCATTTTCTTCAGCTAGTGCATCACAAAAGGCTCTGTGTGTGATGAAACTGTCTCTTCTGTATGGGGACAAAATAATGTAGCAAAATAAAATTAAATTAATTAGAAAATTAAAATTAAATGAGGAATCTTGATGAGATGGGATAATGAATAATTTATAAAAAAAAAAATTGTAATATTTTCTAGAAATGTGTGTTATATATGTGTGGTGTGTTGTGTGCGTGCGCTTGTTTTGTGGCTTTACAACAAGGTCATGAGTTTGCATGCCAAATG